CGGTGGCTCACGCCTGTAATCCCAGCACTTTGGGAGGCCGAGGCGGGCGGATCACGAGGTCGGGAGATCGAGACCATTCTGGCTAACACCGTGAAACCCCGTCTCTACTAAAAATACAAAAACAAAACTAGCCGGACGTGGTGCCTGGCGCCTGTAGTCCCAGCTACTCGGGAGGCTGAGGGAGGAGAATGGCGGGAACCCGGGAGGTGGAGCTTGCAGTGAACCGAGATCACGGCCACTGCACTCCAGGCTGGTCGACAGATCGAGACTCCGTCTCAAAAAAAAAAAAAAAAAAAAAAAAAAAGGAAGAAAGCGCTCCCATCTCCCAGTTTCTGTGGGGGAGAAGCTTAACGTCGGTAAGTGGACTTGCTTCAAGTTGTAAAACTACCTCCGCTCACGAAGATAAGAGAAAGCTTGCTTTTTCACTAGGTAAGGCCAATTAGCAAAAACAGTTGTACTAAAATTCCTCCTCCACTCCAGCTCTTAAAACCTTTCCCACATTTGTTTTGGTGGGGTTTTCTGTCTCTCTCCCCTATTGCAATGGGAAAATAAAGAATAAAGTCTGCTTAATTTATGCTAGGCCAATGTTTGCTTTGACAGAGCCAAATTTATGATGTTATGGATTTTTTCTTTGTGTGATGTGGGATGATATTGCAATTTTTTGTTCAAATTTTCAGTCCGTAACCTCTTTCTGACAATCTCTTTCAATCATACCTACGTATTTTTCTTGGCCTTTATCCCTTTTATTCTCCCATGTGGACCAAGATTGAGACGTGAAAGTAGAACAGGAGTTTTTAAACTTCTTTGTTCTGTAAACCCCTTCAAGAGTTTGGAGCAGCCTATAAACCTCTTAGAATATTCCATTTAAATCCATAAAATAAAATACACAGGTTTAAAAAGGAACCAGTTATATTAAAATATACTTATCAAAATAATTTTTAAATTATGATATCTATATTTGTTTCATTAACATATTAAATAATAAGATATAGTTTGCTGGTTTAATATCAACCATGACATCAAAATGGTGGTAAATGATATTTTGGGATATCTATAATAACTAGAAAAAATATATAATATCTATTTGTAAATATAAACAGATTTGCTGATACAGCTATAGGTTTGTGTATAGTCAATTGCAGGAAGTTAAATTTCACCTGGTGATAAGTGAAAAAATATGATTTTTTTTATTCAAGAATGGCATGGCCTAGAATAAAAAGAGCAGAAGAGTGATTTGATTCTAAACCAGGACTACAAAAGAAAACTTATGTCCATTATGGTACATTCTAGCTTTTCATCATTAATGACTTTGTGTAGGAGATTGTGGCTAAATCCCTATAGAAATAAACTATAAATGCTCTTCATATATCTTCCTTATAAACCCGAAGCAGTGCTAGGATGGAAATTCAAGAGGTTGGAATTCCAGCATGATTTCATCACGTCTTTATTTTTACTAACCTCTAACTGCATACATAAAACGTACTTGCTCATCTGACTATGCTAAGTTCAAAAGCCATAGGGACAAGCTGTTCCCTTTCAGTAGTATTTTTGTAGTGTGAGATAGGAAAGAGCCCTGAGACGAAGAATTTTTTAGTAATGGCAGTGATGCTAGAGAGATTATTCACTTACCAAGTGTTCTGTAACCTCTTGAATATATGAACTTACACAAAAACTCCTCTCCTGTAAAAACCTGAGTTTGTTTATATATTGAAATGACATTACACGTTTCTATGAAATGCTGGTTGTTTTTCAATTCCCATATTGTATAGATTTTTACAATCATAATTTTGAGTAGACTTTGAGATAAAAAGACAAACAGAAATACAGTTAATATAGTGGGTAGCTAAGGAAAAAGTATTGCATTTTACAGCCATTTCTAACTGATTGATTATATTCTGCAATTTATGTTTTGTCCTGATATTTAGGAGCTGTCAACCTAATTGAAAGCAACATAGCTAGGAATTTAAAACAAAAAAAGAACATGAGAACAAAATGAGAGAGGAAGTACTAAGTCCTGTGTAGAGACTTAATCAGTACTATAATTGGGTGACGGAATGATAATGATAATTAATATTATACTAAATACATTTAAATTCTATGTAAACTTTTACTATCATAAACTAGAATGTGCTTTTTTTCTGTACTGAGTGTTTAGTGCTTCCTAGATAATTCGTTAGTTTTATAATCATATTCAAAATTTTAAAAAAAATCCTTTGAACATTTCTAAAAGATGTAAGGTAATAATTTAATCCATGTTTACATTAATTATACAAAGCAGGTAAGCCCCTATCTCATGCCTTCCCAGAAGGTAATGCCTATGATTATTTTCTGAAAATGGAGTCTTTGGGAAAAATAAGATCATCAAGGTGGGCCACAGACCATTGTTACATATTAGGACCATGGATAATAAAAGGATTTGGCCAGCAGATTTAACCAGTTTGCCAACTCTCCTTGATTTGCACAAAGTACATTGGAGTAAGAAAGGAAAACTGAGGTGACAGTGTGGCTCCACAGCCAGCTCCTCAACCAAGAACACTTCAGTCTTTGTGTGGAGAGATGAAGGAACACTATAAGCATGTTGACTGGATAGCCTCTCATATTATCTCCTGATCTAACTCCATTCAATCAAATGCCAGAGTCTGAGAGAGAAAGGTTATTATAAAGAACAAGGCAAATCAAAGCTGCATCACTGTTCTTTGTGTAGGTAAGATCCAGCTCCACATTGTGATTTCAGTGCAACAATAGACACTAAATAAAGGGGAAATATTTCAGGTGCATAATATTTACATACAACCTATGCACATCCTCCCATATACTTTAAATTACCTTTAGATTTCTTATAAAATCCTAATACAATAAATCCATGCCTATTAATCCACCACTTAATTTGCATGGATTTAATATAGTAATAAGTGCATTACAAATTAAAGTTCTGCTTTTAGAATTTTGTGGAATTTATTTTTTTCCAAGTATTTCTTATCCATGGTTGGTTGAATTAGCAGATATGGAACCACAGATACAGAGGGCAGACTGTATATACTTGTCTAACTTCTTCTAATATATTATGAACTTTTTGAAAGTTACAATAATATTTATAAAATATTATAACATTTATATTTATAAAATTTGGCCAAATGCAAAATAATTTCCATTGCATTATTTCATTTGACTTAGAAAAAATTGATGAAGCAGGTGTTATTGGTATCTCCATTTCTATGGTGATAACTTGAGACTTAAAGTGATAAAAACGACTTGTTCCATTCTATATTTTATTAAACATAATTAAATTAAAAACCCATTGTTTAACTTCACATTATGTTGTTTGTTCCACTATTTGCTTCTCGTATTCTTTGTGGTTTGTTTTGTAAACCCAGGAACACAAACCAGTGGGTGGTTTGCATACAATATTTTTTAGTGAGTAAATGAAAGAATGCATTAGTAATCTAGTAATAAATGGAAATATCACATTTTTGTTAAATAGTTACAATTATTTTGTAAAACATTACAATTGTTGGAATAATACAAAAGAAAATATAGTGCATTTATAGTTTTGTAGTAGCTGGCACTGTACGCAAGAAAGTTAATAGTATTGTGGATTGAATTTTACATAAAATAATACTTAATTGATTTATTTCTTAATTTTTTCCGATGAGACCAAGAATATGAGGAAAATAGTAAGTGTAATATAAGATGTAGAAGTTTGTTCAATTTTGTTTAATTTAGAAGGTTTAAAATTAGTTTAAAAGTTTATATATCAGATTCAACCTTCCTTAATACTCAGAAATATTTTAAAACAACTTGCAATTAATCTTTCAGAGTTTTTCCATTTTAAATTAATTTTACATTGAAAATAATAGTGATTTAAGGCTTAACATCTCTGTAAGAGTTATGAATCACACCTGCTGTTGTACATCTCTGCTTATGTAAATGTGAATGCAAATTATGAAAATGAGAAAATTATAGGCAATTTACATTTGTTGTAGCCTTGATTCTATGACAATGGGAGAAGATGACCATAATCTGTCACGCTGGTAACCAGAAATGCACATAGCATCATAAGGGGCGGCCCCAAGTGCTTCTTTTCAATTCTTAATGACAGAATAAGGACAGTAGAATCAGCTTTAAAATATCTTCAATAACATGGCAAGATTTGATCATTCTAAAAATAAAACTATTGTCCCTAACACTTCTCCTAAGTGTCTGTATGGCACCCACTGTTGCTGAAATTTACAATAAAAACGGAAAGGAAAAAAAAAATAGAAAAATCAAAACCTTTCTCATTTTTAAATTATGCCTTGAGACAGATTAAGCTCATCACATTTTTAAAAATGGTTCAATAGAAAGAAAAGAAGAATAAAAGGAAAAGATTAAGAATTACCATGATCATTAGTTTACAAAGATATCTTAGAATTTAAATTAAAAATTACTTGATTTAATGGGAAGAAATAATATTAAATATTTCCACTTAAAGTATACATTCTTTAAAAAATGCTTCTGATTTCAGTACTCAAAATTATATTGTCTGCTCTATTATCAAAATGTCTTAAAGGATTTAGAATAATTACTTAATATATTTTAAATCTGCTCTCCAAGAAAAAAGTATCCATTTCATAAAGTTGTGCACATATATGCACACACAGTCAGAAAAGAAATATATAGGATTAAATGATATATATAAGCATTTCAGAAACAGTAACTCCAAAAAAAGTTAACTATAAGTTTTAAAATATATTATGAAAATTTGCATTCATATTTCATAGGCTATAAATGAAAAGTTTTGATTGGACGGCTTAAAGTTCATACTTTGCAAAAACGTGGTAAATTAGATATAGTCGGAACATGGCCAAATATACATGCAGTTACTGCTTTTGTGAGTAGAGGACTCTGAAAATATGCACACAGTCAGCTGACAAAAAATATATAATTCTTATTTCTTGCTTATATCACACAAGAAATCACTGAATAGAATTTTCCTTTGCTGTCTCTTTTATGTTGGAAAGAAAACCACACTGAGGAAGTGTCCAGCTATTCCCAAGGATACTATCAACAGGTATGCATGGCATATTATTCCATTCTTCTATGTTAATAATGGGTGACTTCATGTATTTTTCTAATTCATTCCTTTAGGAAATTTACTTCTCCAACAGGTGTACCTTAGAGGGATCTATACATCCTGGTCCTTAACCACCAGACTGGATCAATTTTATGGAGAATTGGCTTCTTTATATTGACTCCAGTTCCATTAGGTGATAACATACATGCTTGATTCTTTTCTTTAGCACCAAGCATAGTTAAAAAAAAAAAAAAAAAATCAGTGGTCTCAAAAGTTTGCTATCTATAGAATTCATTTTTAATTCACCTCACTGGAACTCAAGGCACTCTGGAACTGAGAAACCCTGTATATTCACTCACAAGCTTCTGTGTATCACTTCAGTCCCATTTCTAATTGTTTGCTAACATGACTGAGTTCACTTTTTCTACCTGCACTGTGTAAAATCTAGCTGAGAATCTAATTCATAACACTTACTCATAGAATACCTTTTTCTATTCTAATAGGTAAATTGTTTGAATTAGAATTAACGAATACTCATTATAATTTAATAGCTAAATATCTAAGAAACAATATACATTCTATTTCATATAAACTTCTATGATAATAAATCCAATGGAACAAAACAAATTCTAAAATTATCCATACTTATCTTAACCTATGGTAATTCATGAACAGCGCCTTGCATCTTAGATTTGTAGTTATTCTCAAGTTTTTCCATTGTTATCCATCGTGTCCTGAAATATTTTCTCTGTTGACATTCCTCACTACTTGCCATACCATTTGCACCCTTTGGTCAACATTTTAATCTCATTTCCTCTAATTTGTTTCTGCACTTTAAAGCAACATTGGATAAAATCATAAGGCTCTACTAAAAGGGTCACTATAATCTTTGCTATCAAACCATAATTTATATCAAACTCTTATTTTTACTTATCAATCATTTTCTTTTTTTATTTTGTGGATTCATTTAGGCTGCCTTATGGCAGATCTTTCCAAGTTTCCAGATCTCCTTCTGCTTTCAATATTATCTCTGCTTGTCTCATTCAGCAGGTGACATTGCTTCTTCATTCTCTGGTAAGACTAAAATCATTAGACATGACTTTCACAGTTGTCTTACTACAGACAAACCCAAAAACTGTCAACACATACTTCTCTCAATTCTAGTGCATAGCTGTTTCTTCATATATCACTCCTCTTAGGCCAGAGGAAGCTCTTAATCCCAGACCCTCTTTCTTTCTGCTCTACAAGTATCTTCTCTGTCCATTCCTCTTCCATTCAACAAGAAATGTATTCTGTAATACCACATGGGACTTAAATGCCATATGAAAGAGGGAGATAGCAATAACATCAATATTACTATCACCATTTACCTAATTCCTGTTCCAGGATTTTTTTTTTTTTTTTTTTTTTTTTTTTTTTTTTTTTTTTTTTTTTGAGACGGAGTTTCACTCTGGTTGCCCATGGCACGATCTTGGCTCACCACAACCTTCGCCTCCCAGGTTCAAGTGATTCTCCTGCCCCAGCCTCCCGAGTAGCTGGGATTACAGGCATGCGCCACCACACCTGGCTAATTTGGTATTTTTAGTCGAGATGGGGTTTCTCCATGTTGACCAGGCTGGTCTCGAACTCCTGACCTCAGGTGATCCGCCCACCTCAGCCTCCCAAAGTACTGGGATTACAGGCGTGAATCACTGCACCCAGCCTCCAGGATTAAAAAAACGTATATATTTTGAGGTCATCATGTACTATAGAAAATTCATCCAGGCATTTTCAAGGAGCTGTTACACAAGGCCACCCAGGAAAGTCTGTTACTCAGAATACAGAAACTGGAAAGAGAAAATACATCTTATAGTTCAAATTTTGTTGCGAAGATAACATGTTCAAAATTCAATTTGCTATAATATGAATAATTAAATGTGTAAGTCATAACAAATAGTCCTTAAAGAGCATTTAATATATACTTTTCAGTTAGGTAATATCATTTAGATAAAAAGTTATAGGTGAACTACTACTATCACTTGATACTTCCAAGATTTTACATTCTGCTTGGATGACAAACATGCATTTTTTCTTTTAATACAACTCCCTGTGTCAGCTCCTAATGTCCTTTACTCTTTCTCCCCATTATAATATTTAATTATTTCCCAATGAATGCCCAGCCATTATCATAATTTTCCAACATAATTCTAATGTGATTTGTTATCTTATACAACCCAAACCCAAAATATATTCACACTAAGAGATATTGCTTTATAGCTTTTGTGCACATTTACTGATGGCCAAACCTGAGTAAGTCCATTATATTTTTTTATTTAATTCTGGCTGAGGATTTGAAGCCTTACTGGAGAAAGTATGGTAATTGTATTAATAGGCTTCTGTACATCTTCAATTCACTTTCATTCAACGAATACTTATTCATTGCCTATTTTGATCAGTGCCTATCACATGATTGGGCAATGGGAAAGAAAATGAGATAATTCTTTCTTCTGAAAAGCATTGGTCATGCTGGCTGTTAGAGATGTGCGCTAAAATAAAAAGTCAATAATATTTGATGAATGCTAAGAAAGAAAAAGAGTGTGCATGGTCTGATAGGGACACAGATAAGGGGCACTTCATCCAGCCCAGAGTGAGCTTGGGAAGTGTCATAAGAATAAATGGATTCCAGGTAGAACAATGACTGCAACCAGAGAAAGGAGATATGAAATAGCCTAATGTATTTAAGTAATTATAAATATCTTCGGTCTATTGTAGGAATTGATGCAAGGCAGATAGAAGAAAGATTGGTAAGAGAGAAATTTGTATATAACAACTTAAGGAACAAAAGAGTGTCAGCTTGATTCAAAGAGGAGGGATTAAGACTGTTGATATAATGAGTTTGATTAAGAACCTGCAATGTAGGTTCATGCCCGACAGTGAAATATACAGTTTTGAAACGTAGGAGAGATATCTGTATCTCTCATATTTCAGAAAATATGTATCTGAAAAACATCTTTATGTAAGAATGAATGAACACATGGTTATGCATGAGATCACTCAGCTGTTAGAAGACAAACTAGAAAAGTGGGTCAAGGGTAGAACCTCAAGGAATAGCAGTAGAATGCATAAGAGCAGACTAGTGAGGCAGAATCTTGAAGCCTCTTGGAGAAGGGCTAGAAAATTAAGAAGATAGCTGTGATAGTTAATATTGAGTGTAAACTTGGTTGGATTGAAGGATGCAAAGTATTGCTCCTGGGTGTGTCTGTGAGGGTGTTGCCAAAGGAGATTAACATTTCAGTTAGTGGACTGGAAAAGGCAGATCCACCCTCAATCTGGGTGGGCACAATCTGATCAACTGTCAGAGCCGCCAGAATAAAAGCAGGAAGAAGAACGTGGAAAGACTAGACTTACTAAGTCTTCTAGCTTCCATCTTTCTCCCCCAGGGCTGGATGCTTCCTGTACTAGAACATTAAACTCCAAGTTCTTCAGCTTTGAAACTCTTGGACCTTTGACCACAGACTGAAGGCTGCACTGTCGGCTTCCCTACTTTTGAGATTTTGGGACTCAAACTGGCTTCGTTGCTCCTCAGCTTGACTATAGTGGGACCTCACCTTGTGATCATGTGAGTTAATGCTTCTTAATAAACTCTCCTTTATATATATATACACATATACATATATATATATATATCTGTCTATCCCATTAGTTCTGCCCCTTTAGAGGGCCCTGACTAATACAAGAACCCAAAGCTGATAGTGTTTGATATGGTTTGGATCTGTGTCCCCACCCAAATCTTATGTCAAATTTTAATACCCAGTGTTGGAGGTGGGGCCTGTTGGGAGGTGATTGGATACTGAGGGTGGATCCTTCATGAATGGCTTAGCACTATCCCTTTGGTGCTGTTCTCGTGATAGAGGTATCATGAGATCTGGTTGTTTAAAAGTGTGTGGCACCTCGCCCCCCATCTCCCTCCTGCTCTGGCCATATGAAGTGTTGGCCTCCCCGTACACCTTTCTCTGTGATTGTAAGTTTCCTGAGACCTCACAGAAGTCAAGTTGATGCCAGCATCATTCTTCTTGTACAACCTGTGGAACCTAATTACCAGGACTTATTAATATGATACCTTACATGTTAAAAATAAGTCAAGATTGCAAAACAACTGAGATAATTCTAGTAATTAGGATTTTGACATTTTGGGTATGGGGGAATAATTATTCTACTTACCACACCACAGGCTGGTTTCATATTACTTCATCTAATCTCTGTGTACTGAAGTAAACTGAAAGACTTCAGGTTATTCTCAGGGAGCAACTGTCGATTGTGCTTAAATAGCTTTAGTCTTTCCAACTTGTATAGGACCCTAGACAGACTTTTAGAAAGAAGGTATAGGAAAGGTAAGTGGAATCCATATAAATGGATATGCTGACAAGGAATTCGCTATTTGGGTGGGGAACTTTGGGATGAGAGGCAGATTTTAAAGGGAGTATGTTGTGTTATATATGATGTTATCCGATTTCCATCGACCCAAGAACTTTAGCTGAATATCTTCAGCACTTTTGGTGTCATATTTTTTTTCTACTGGATTTAATCAAATGTTAATGTTATGAAATGGAAGGAAGAATGATGCCTAGTAAAAATGCAGTGTATTTTGGTTACAAATGTAAATGTGACTTATGTTACTTAGCTTGGCTCACTGCAACCTCTGCCTCCTGGGTTCAAGCAATTCTCATGCTTCAGCCTTCCAGAGTAGCTGAGATTGTAGGTGCACACCACCATACCTGGCTTATTTTTTTGTATTTTTAGTAGAGAAGGGGTTTCGCCATGTTGACCAGGCTGATCTCGAACTCCTGACCTCAGATGATCTGCCCGCTTTGGCCTGCTTTGAAGCTTTTGATCCTAAATGATCTCTAAGACATAATTCATAACCTGTATATGTTTACTTATGGTTGCTCTGTGTGCCACCCAACTTGTTTCTGAGGTCATGAGAAGACTTCTTCGTGATAACGCCATTGGCATCCGTACAGAAACTTCTATATAACCTATTTCATATTCACTTATTGTCTCTCTGGTTTATTATATATTCACTGGTTCTCTAAGACATTTTTGTCTTTCAAAAATCTCAATTTTTAGAACCCTTAGTATATTATTACATATAAATATCTATTCCTGATGAAGTGTCACTCAATATTAAAAAAATATTTCTGGTGTGCAGGTTAGTAGTAGCTATTAGATAAAAGTACCATAGTAATAGTAATTTCTGGCAGGATGGCTATATATCTCATTAAATTAAGTGTAACTCTGTGACTTGGGAGCCTGCTGAGATATATACCATTTCTAAATATGGATAAATATTAAAACATATTAGCATGCCACATTAATAAGTCAATTTAAGTCAACAGCTTATTATAGTTAATAAAAATATAAGTATTTTCCTAGATCATTGGTATGATATCACTCCATAGAGAAATCACAATATAAAGTACCCCTTTATTGAAATATATAATATACATTATGACTACAGTATGATCTATATTATGCTTACCTAATAGAATTGTGATTAGTGTTGCTTTCAGTATTTTCATGGGTTGCTAGAATAGTATACCATATTTTAATATAATTTCATATTTTCAATGAATTATTTCACTTGAATCTTTTACAATGTTTTTTTTTTTTAATTATAGAATCTAAAATGGGATATTTTTGTTAAAACACTAAACATTTAAAGAATATAGCACAGGGCATAACTACTTCGTAATTAATTTCTTCATATTCAACAAGATGAATATGCCCTTTTTCCTTATCTCCCAAATAAACTCGAAGGAGATTTTATCTCGTTGTACAATAGATAAGAGAAATCACTTTAAAAGAATAAATGTGTAAACTGTTTGGAAAGGAAAGATGCTTATGGCAGAAAGGATAGCATTCATGCTGGGCAGTTGAACAGGTTTGCATATTTAAATAGTTATACTGTTATTAAAGGCTATAAAGTTGTAAAAATAAGTTCTACTTATTTGGCTATGGATCTCTAAATAAAATACTGAAATGTTCTGATCCTTATACTCTTTATTAAAAATGTTAATCAATATATTTATATAGAATTATTTTGGTAAAGTCACTCTCCTGCTGGAGGCTTTAGTATTTTATCTAACATAGTACTTAAAAATATCAATTGTAAAATCAACAGAAGAGTGCAATGGGATCTTTACTCATTCCTTTATGTACTAGTGTGCTTTGTGTGATATTGCATTGCAAAAACTGAAAATCAACACAACCCTAGTAATTAAAAATGAATGAAGAAGATCAAAAAGATCTCTTCAATAGCAGTGTTCTAGGAAATGCATGCATTTTGCACTTGCAACAATATATTAATTACTTAAAAAACATCAATATATTAATATATAAAACAACAATATATTAATTACTTAAAAAACATCAAAGAACAAACAAAAGCACTGAATCATTTTAATTCTTACAAATTTCTGAGCTACAAGTTCATTATTTCACTGTGATTTCTTTACTTATTCATCTATAACAGTCAAATACTCATATTAATACAAATCATTGGCAAAATTAACTGTTTCATATCCTGATTTATTTGTTAGGCAGACATGGATTGTCATTATTTGAATCCAGGGATATCAGAGATAAGGAGTCAGAAAAATCATAAGGTGCCATACTTAGGTCATTGACTTGCTTATCTACCCAATACCCCTTTCTCACACCTTCTCAACCTAACTTGGATTTTAATAATTGATTTTAGAACAGTTAACATTAAAAGAAATAAAGCAAACCCAAAATTCAGTGGTAGAAAATGTTCAATAACGTCTTCTCATGCTTCTTTAACATTTGGTGTGTCTGCATGTTCCCCTCTTGGTGGGTGCGAAACAAGGGTTTTCTAGAATATATGCTCTACATATCAGTGATTAGACTCTGAGAAAAGAAGATTCAGAGAAACATTCAACAATATCAGAGTCAAAACCAAGTGTTGTACATCAACATTGGTCTTATTTTTTACTAGCTATATAATTATGCCAAAAGAAGTTGCAGCTGTTTTTCATTTGGCAATTATAGTTACCAAGAATAACTAGGTAACTGAGGGAACCAAGTGAAAAAGACAGAAACACAGAGAGAAAGAACAAATCCTTATAAATTTAATCAGCACAGGGAAAACTGTAAATTTGAATTAAATTATGACTATATGTTTGAAAAGATAAATTCCCACCTGATATAAACGTGCTATTTGTCTATTTTTCATTGAAGTTTACAGTAGCAGAATTATTAAAGATTCACACAGTGGTCTACTGTGTAGAGCTTGCGTTGAACCCAGTGGGTGTTCAATAAGTAGTAATTATTGCTGCTGCTTTGGTCCTCTACAGTGGCCTTGGAATATTGTATAATCAATGAAAAAAAAAAGTACAAATTGCATTAATGGATTGCTTTTTTATCATCTCAGGGTAAGGATGGTAAGGAGTAAATAGAACAGATACCTACTTACCCAGAGTGGTTAAAGAGTACTTTCAGAACAGCTTGCACAAAATGTCTATCCCACACTCTAGAAATTACCACCTTTCCCTAAACATCTCTTGTCTGAAGTAATCCTAGCCTGTCTCCAGGGGACACAGGTAAATTCAAGCTCTTATTTTATTTTCTCTAATAATACCATGAAGTCGTTAAAACAAATATGAAAGAAAGAAAAAATATTAAATTAAAAGAAAGATTTTAAAAATGGAAAGAAGGAAGGAGGAAAGAGAAGAAGAAAGGAAGGGAGATAAGTAGAGAAACATACCTTTGTAATCTCAGTGTGTTTGGGGAAGAGGAGGACTACTGACTGTGGGTTAGGAGCAATGATTCTCTGTGCCTCCACCAGTGACATCAGTCAATATAAAAAACAAAACTGCCTATAAACATTTGTAAATACATCCAAGTGGATGATACTTCCCAGCTGGAGAACTACTGCAATTAAAAATAACACCATGAATGTATGGGACACTACACCAGTGGCTCTCAGTTTTGGCTGCACATTAGGATAATTCATGGGGCTCTTGATATTCCCAATGCCCAACACAGGACCCAGCTCAATTATACCAGAATCTGTGGAGTTGAGACCCACACATCAATATTTTTCAAAGCTCCCGTTCTCCATGCCTGCGATTTTAATGCTGTAATCAAAACTCTTTTCCTGATTAACACCTTTAAAACAGATGTGTTGACTTAATAACCAAATCAAAACCATAGCACCCCTCTTATCCAAGGATCTAGGACTAGGATTTTAACAGATGTAACAAAAATGTTAACCACTTACTGGTAGCCTACTATTTATCAGGATCATGTTCATTTGCATATACATATATAATCTCAATCCTTAAAGCCACTCCACAAGCACAAATTATCCTTCTTTTTTTATTTTAATAAAGCAACTTAGGTTGTGATGATTGATTCAATTAGAGATTCCAGCTACAAAACTGAGGCTATCCACCTCTTTCTCTTTCAGAAAGGAGGTAATGTTATAAGAGAGCATTTCTATGGGATAGGCTTGAGCAGGGACCTTGACCATAGCCAGCCTGTGGAGAGTATTCCCCTAAAAGAAACAATAGAACTGACAGCCTGCTATGGCCA